CTGGGGCGCCAAGCGCTGTGTTGGGCGCTGGCGATAAATGACAGTGGACCTGTGCTTGTCTTCAGGGATCTCACAGTCTAGCGAGGAGGCCTGACAGTAACAAAGGCTCGTACCAACCAGGCTTTTCTTACAGTTGTGCTCAGTCCTAGGAATGCAAGGTGCGGGGTGCTGCAGTAACAAGGTGTCTAACTTAGACAGGGCTCAGGTCCCCCAGGAGTAACACTGAGCAACTCTTGAAGCAACAAGTGTTACGGGCAAAGGAAGGAGCTTATGTGAAGGCATTGATGTTAGCAGGCACTGGGAGGGTTCTGGGAAGGAAAAAGAGGTTAGTAAAGAAAAGGAAGCAGGGCGTGAGATAAGGCTCTGGAGGTTTGGGAGAGATTATTTAGAATGTCGAAGGCCATAAGGAAGCAAGATTTTATTACAAGTGCGATGAGTACTGGTGGAGGCTATCAGGAGTGGATCCAGGGGAGCAAGAGCAGACACGGGGAGGCCTTTTAGGGTGACCTTGTGAGTGCCCTGGGGACTGAGGGTAGTGAGCAGGATGAGAGGGGAATCACATGAGTGGAGAGATGTGAACGAGTTATGGAAATAATTAGAAGATACAATCTACGGGCTGACTGGTGGATAGGTTGAATGGGGGGGGGGTGACGCCAAGAGGAGTTAATATTAAGTCATCGTTCATTGGGCAATTATTTATAGAGTCCCCTCTGGTTGCCAGGCACTGTTCAAGAAAGAGGCAGACTCTGGATCAAATCTTGGCTCTGTTATTGGTTAGCTGTTTGCTAACCAATCAGGACAGTTATTTAACCTGTCTTTATCAGTTAAATAGGAACCCTAAGAATGCTCAAGGGGTCGTGGCAGGGGTTAAATAAATTGATATATATAAAACCTTGGATCTGGGCATTTGGAGCTGGATTCCGAGGCTGGGGACTAGGGCTTGAGGACTTAGGACTGGATGCTTAGGCCTGCTTCATAGAGTAAGCAAGGCTCCTAGTTCTTGACTGCCTTATCCAGAAAGCTGGAGCAGGTTGATAGATTGGAACAGTGGTTCCTGCTCTTGTCTGCATATTAAAATCACTTGGAAGGTGTTTTTGTTGTTTTGTTTTGTTTTTTTAATTCCAAAGTTCTGGCAACATCCAAGATCAATTGCATCTCAATGTCTATGGATGAGACACAGACACAGATGTCACTATTTTTTTTTTTAAGCCCTTGGGTGATTCCAAAAGCCAAACATGTGGCACATACCTGCAACCCCAGTACTCAGGGGACAGAAGCAGGATGAAAACCTGAGGCCAGCCTGGGCTACATAGTTCATGGTCACCCTGAACTACATATTGAATCTGTGTCTGGAAAAAAAAATGATTCCAGAGGCAGCAAGTTTGGGAATCATAATAGTAAGAAATAAGGAGGCTACTTTATAATAGGAGGTCAGGGGGGGCTTCTCTGAGGAGGTGGTACTTGAATGGAGGACACCAAAGAGTGAAAAAGAAGCTGTCAATGAAAAATTGAGGGGGAAAAAGAGAGAAGAGAAATTCAGGGGGAAAAGCCTTCGGCAAACATCTGACTTGGAACTTTGCATGCTTGGAGGAACCTCTGCCAGGAGTGGGAAAGACTGGGGCAGAAATGGGCTGTGGCTGGTAAGTTCTAAGAGAAGGATGAGTAATCATGGCTGAATGGAGACTTTGTGTCCCTTCTACAGGCCACACCTGGGGCTCTTGGTAGCGCTTGGTGCTGGGAGTTGAGCCATCAAGAATTCATACGTGCTCTTGGGGCACCAGTCTGCCAAGAAGGACACCTGTGGCATCACTCCTACTGCCACCTTCCCCATCCTGCTGTGACTTGTAACTGAGACTCTTCTGCCCACCACTAACACTTCCTGTTCCTCACACCTGCCCCCATGAGAGAGGCAGGCCAGGGCTTTCTGCTGGCCAGACAGTGGCGAGGCAGAGACCCAGACAGGGTCACAGCCGGTCAGAGTAATGCAGTGATACTAAGAGCTGGAAGGTCCCATGCCAAGCCCTTGCTTTTCTGCTGCCTGGGCCTGCTTTGGGAGGGCTTTCTCTGTCCAACTTCTTGCTTCTGGCTCTGGGGGGATCTAGTTCTCCACTGGATGGGGTCTGGGTGGGTGGAGGTTAGCACCACCCTGCACTAGCTTGTGCAAATAAAACAAAAGCAGTTAAATGACCTCAACTGGGTTTTGTGGTTTTTTGCATGGCTGGACTGGCATTTCCCTTGGTGTTAGCTACAGAGGAAGAAGCAGTCCAGTTAATCCTCGGAGAATGACTTGCAACTAGCTAGGTCCTCCACTGGGAACTGGAAACTAGGGGTTGGGATATTCGAGGCCAAGGACTTGGGGCTGGCTTTCTGGCTCTGGGCTCTGAGGCTGGGTACTGGTACTTGGGTACATGGTGGGTTAAGTGCTTGGGCTTGCTTTTCAGAGCAACCAAGTCTCCATTTCTTTACTGATCTCTACCAAGGAGCCTGACCCCTACATTTCTCTCTTCTTTGTAGTGTCAAAACGCATCGCTTTTCTTACAAGGCCTGCCTGTCTCAGCTGTCTGCTCTGTGGAGATGCCAAGGTGAAAGGAAAGAGAACATTCTACTGAGTCTCTTCCCAGGACATTTCTGGGGCCCCATTTATTTTCTTTTTCTTTTTTTTTTGTACTAGGAATCGAATGCAGGACCTTGCGCTTGCCAGGCAGGCACTGTGCCTCTGAGCCTCCCATTTCTTGAGCCTTAATCTTCTACCTCCTCCCCTAGCCATCTGCTTAAAGGAAGTGGCTCCTCAGTTCTTCACAGGAAGCCACAGGCCTCCTCTGCTTCAGCAGTCTCCAGCTGCTGCCAGCCCTGGCCCCTGCTGATCTAGGCCCTTTTCCAGGCTGGGCTTAGGGATGTCCTGTTCCTAGCAATACCCTCAGTGCCCAGCCCAGGCCCTCTGTGCCTCTCATTTCTTTTAAATTCCAGTGGCTCTGGCTGAAAGCACAGGCTGGGGGCCTAGAAGTGAAATCTGATGACAGAGGGTCCTGCAAGCCAGGCTCAGGAGTGCAGAGATTCAGGAATTGTAGGACTGAGCTCTGAAAAGGGAGACGAGGGGGCAGCCATGCAGGAATCTTCTGGATGGATAGCTCAAGTGAGCTTCAGGAGCTCAAGCCATAGATCAGGGGAGGGGGATTATTCATTTCAGTGTCCCTAGACCCTGGGGGAGCCTACCCCAGGGAGGGGTGTTGGTAATTGTTGAGCTGCTCAAGGATAATGAGGTCTGGAAAGTCCAGGCTGGGGCTGCACTGCCACCTGGTGGTCTCCCTGGCACATAGCACTATGAAATTGTGCCCCCCCCCCCAATACCTTGAGAGGAAAAAAAAAAGGAGCCTGTTATCAAGTGTATGAGGGCTGGAAGGCCCTAAAAAATAAGAAAACTCCTTGATAAAGGGGTTATTATAATTAAAGACCAATGTGTCTCTAAGCAGGGCACAATGGTGTGCTAATGAGGCACAGACAGGATTATTTGAGTCCAGGAATTTGAGGCCAGCTGGAACAGCATGTTGAGATTCCATCTTGGAGAGGTGCACCTCAAAATCAACCACTTGGGAAAGATGTTCTGGTCCGAGATGAGAGGCAAACTCCTTCTGTCTCCTACTTCACAGACTAAGAAACTGAGGTCCAGAGAATTGATGAAGACAAAGAACCTCAACATTGTCTCTCAGCTATTTTATCTGCTTTGGCCCTGAGGAAGGCCTCTATCCCTGAGCTGCACTGCCAACGCCTGGGACTTATTTTTGGAGTCATCTTAAGGTTTGATCCTAGCATGAGGACCCCCTGTTAATTTCTAGTGACTGATTTGTGACCAAACATGGCATTTCTCAGCACTACCACCCACTTTAGTCACCAAGTTGGCACCACAAGGTGTCTCTCGGCTGTTTCTAAAAATAAAATCCACCCCGAGGGCCAGGATCTGAGAGAGCTGAGGGGATGCAGATGCATGCACTCCATCTCCAGCAGATGTGCAGAGCAGGAAGCCAGGGGCGATGGTATTCTGACCCTCTAGCTTTAAAGCTCGGAGCTGGGACCCTGAAACAGCAAGTAACTTGATTGAAGCCACCCATCCCTGAAGGGGGGTCCGTACTCAGTTGTGTCTCTCTGAAGGCCAATTTCACAGAGGAGTCTAAAATCATGAGGGCATCTCTTGACTTGCTGCTCTGGTTATTTCTAGCCTATGAAGCGTATGATGCACACCGATAATCCTGGCTACTCAGAAGGCTGAGGCAGGAGGATGGCAAGTTCAAGGCATCCTCCTTGAACTTATTGCCAAGGTCTCAGTAAGTTGCCTAGGCAACCTTGACTCTAAATAAATCAAAAGGGCTTTGATGTGATTTGGTGGTAAAGCCCTAGCCTGGCATGTGTAAGTCTCTGGGTCCATTCCCCAGCACTGTAAAAATAAAATAGATCTTGGTGGGTCTTTACCATATTGCTTCATCCTCTGGGGTGACTGTGGTCCATGAAGACTGACAAGGGAGGGGTTAGGCACAGGAGAAGGGCTGAGGGGTGGTGAGCAGGAGAAGAGGGGTGTTGGATGCACTGTGAACTCCAAGTAGGCAGGAACGCGTCTGTTCCACTGTGGTGTCCACAGCACTGGCATGGAACCTGGCATGGGACTGAGTGCCCAGGAAATGCCTGTGGGGTGCAGGCAAAGAGTTACACTGCATAGGCCCAGAGGGATCCCGGGCAGAATGGAGACTCCCCTGAAAGGACAGGTCATTTTCAGTGTCCTTCAACCCAAGGACTGCTGAGGCCTGAGATCTGAAGTCCCAGGGGCAGAGCTGTCCGTCTTTCTCTGGCCTTGATGCTCAGCCTGAGGGAGGGATGGAGGGTGTGTGTGTGTGTGTGTGTGTGTGTGTGTGTGTGTGTGCATGTGCACGTGCGTGCTGTGAGTATGTTGTATGCTTTTTTTTGTTTTTTTTATTTTGAGACAGAGTCTCAATCTATATTTCAGGCTGGCCTCAAATTTGCTGTCACTCAAGCTGCCCTGGAATTCATAATCCTCCTGCTTCAGCCTCCTGAGTGCTGGGACTACAGGAGTACACCTCATCTTTGTTTTATGCAAGTCCTTAATCATGATGGGAGCTGACATTTACCGAGTGCTTACTATGTGCCAGGGACCACGTTAACCCCTTTCTGTACAGCGCCTCTGCTACTTGTGCATCTCTGCCACAGGCAGTGTTGCTCTAGGGCCCAGAGATGCCAGCAGAGGCGGGCCATTGCCATCTGCAGAGGTGGCATGAGAAGTGGGGGCGGGAGAGGGCAGGATGGGATGAAGAAGCATTTCTGGGATAAGAAGGACATCAGGGGAGGCCTGCAGTACCTGATTCCTCGCTGCTTTCTCTCCATGGAGGGCTCCAGGCCTCTTGAGTTATAGCTCTTTGGAGACCAGGCCCTGGGGTTTCCAGGCAGCCCCCTCCCAGAGACACACATCTGCCGGCAGGCCAGGCTAGCATTGTGCCTGGCGTGCCCACTTACAGACCGGAACCACAGCATGCTGTCTCTCTCCCTGGTGCTGCATCAGCCCTCCTCCTATTGCTTTTTTTTCTTTCTTGCGTTCTTTTTTTTTTTTTTTTTTTTTTTGACAGGGTTTTGCTATGCAGTTCAGGCTGGCCTTGAATGTGCTATGCAGCCCAGGCTGGCTTTGACCAGCAATCCTCCTGCCTCACCTCCCGAGTGCTGGGATTACAGGTGTGTGCCACCATGCCCAGCTCCTTTTGCCTATTTGATTTCCCCAGCCTCCCTCCTTCCCCTGTCTTGTTCAGGGTACCAGGGTTCCCCTTGACAGGCCTCCCACACTTTAAATCTTTCCACCAGAGCTTGGGTTACTCTTCTTTTCCAGTTAAAAGGCCTACAGGTGCCACCTGTAAACTGGCCACCTGTCCTCCGAGTTGTGAGAGGAAGGAAGACCGTGCCCAGGCCTCCAGATCTGCTTATAGTCTCTGTCTGAGGGGTCTGTGCTTTGACAGAGAACCGACTCCTGGCTGCTCCATCCTGCCTAACCAGAGAGTAGCTGCGGGCTCCTCTCAGTGAGAACACCCTGAGTTTTCCTCCCGGCACCCAAAGCACCCTGGGAAACAAAGCCTGCACATTCCAGCCCTGACTGGGTGACAGGAGGTTCTGGCACAGAGAAATGTCAAGGAAAGGGATGTCTGCACTGTGCTCAGAAGGACAAAAGGCAGCTTTTCAAGCAGGTGAGCTTGGGAAGGGCATTCCAGCCAGGTAGCAGCCCTGCTGTGGCCCAGAAACAAAATCAGCTGGTTCTGTCCCTGGAGCTGTGGTTGACCTGACAGGAAAATGAGGGTGGGGCCTGCGGATGGGGCAGGCCAGAGCCAGGCTGTGTTGGCTTCTCATGGCAAGGGTGATTCACAGGACAAAGTGCTTTCTGTTTTCTCATCTAGGTCACTGGGGAGAGTGACAGAGAAGGTTCTGGACTCCAGCTGGAAGAGGGAGGGCAGCAGGAAAGAAAGGGCTCCTGGGAGTCACTGGCTGTTCCTCCCTACTGCTTTTTATGGTGCTCACAGACAGGATGCCGCTGCCACCCAAAGTGAGCTCAGACAGGTCACCAAGGCCAAGCTGTGGCCCCGGGAATCCGGATGTCTGGAAACCACGGGTGCAGTCCAATCCCCTGACTTCCACATGGAGAAGCAAAGACCCTGAGAGGGGAATCCAGTATCCCCTGTGCTACCATCCCAAATCAGAGACGAGCCTCAGATGTGAAAATAATATTAAAACAATAGTTTCTTTTCTTTATATCTGCAATACAAATGCCATGTTATTCATAATGCTAACATCAGCCATTTCTGTGGAGACTTCCTGTGTGGTACTGGGGGCACCATTTCACCCCATCACAGTCCTGTGGTATATAAGGACCTGGCTGATAGCAGAGGGCTGTCCCCAGACTTGCCCACTCTGTTCATCTCCCACTGCAGAGAGCCGTCTAAAATCGTGGGGACATTTTTTGACTTGCTGCATGGGTTTTTCTCTCCATTTTCTCTTCTTTTGGGCTGGATCTTTGAGATTTTCCCATCCAAAATGGAGACATGATGGAGGGTTCCGAAAGGAAAAAGGTCCAGCCATGATGGCACATGAGTCCCACTGAAAGGCTGAGGCAGGAGGATCACTTAAGCCTAGGAGTTTGGGACTATCCCAGGCAACACTGCAAAACTTTGTCTCAAAAAAAGGTGTAGGCAAAAGTGCAAGATCCTGAGTTTGATTCCTAGTACCACACACACACAAAGCCGGGTATGGTGGTGCATGCTTGTAATCCTAGCACTCAGGAGGCTGAGGCAGGAGGATTATTGCAAATTCAAGAAGAAGCCTGGGCTGGCTACAAAGTGAGCTCAAGGCCAGCAAGTCAAGGCCAGGGCTGCAGTGAGACTCCTTTAGGTTGTTCACCACATTTGTTTGCTGCTGTGGTTCTCTGGGGCCCAGCAGATTCAAACAATGTTAAACTCAGGCTGATTTCCCTATCAGCAAATTGAGGGGACTGAGGCTTGATATGACTTCCCCAAACCATCTGTGAGGTCTGGCTGGAGAGGCTAAAAGCAGGGCTTGTGATATGTTATCCACTGGGCTTGAGTCCTGCCTTTGGTTCTAATCCAGCTGGGAGAATTTAAATAACTTAATTTCTGAGTGCCTCAGTTTCTCCAGATGTATGATGAAGATAAGAAAGCCCACAGGTGGGCTGGGATTTAGCTCAGGGGCATAAGCACCTGCCTGGCAAGTGTGAGGTCATGAGTTTGATCCCAGGTACCCCCCCCAAAATACTTAGAGTTAGCCTGTGAAGGGGCTCAGAACAGTAAAGAGCCCCCACTCCACCCGCCCTCCCTGTACTCTGCAGAGCGCCCTCCAGCTCCCCAGCAGAAGGCTCCACCCATTCAGCAGCAGCTCATCAGAGAGAAAGCCAGGGTCGGACTGGGGAGCTGGAGCCTCAAAAGCCCAGGAACCCTGCTGGGCCGCCTCCTTCTGGAGGTCCCCACCCTGCACCCCTACCTCTACCAGGCATGGAAAGGGTGCCTGGGGCTCCAGAACCACATGCCTCTTTTAGTTTTTTTTTTTTTTTTTCCCTGCCTGTAAACAGTGTGGGTGGTGGGGAGACAGAGGTCCCCTACTTTGAATTTGACGCTCAGGAACATTCCCAGAGACTCGGGCCACCACTCTCCCATTTCACAGTGTTGTCACAAAGGGAAAGAGACTTTTCCCAGGCTCTGTGCCTAGCACCGAACTGGTTGAATACATTTAGGGATTCGAACCTGGGACCCTGACTATAGCAACGCCATGCTGTCCGTTGTGAGAGCGCCTCTAGTACAGAAGCATGCCTGGGCCCCTAAAGCGGGGATCCTGAGCCAGCTGAGTTCCATCTATCCCACAATCCACGCGTTCGCCAGGATCCTTACCTGCCCACGCAGGCGAGGAGTAGCAAGTGTCACAAGAGCGATACCCTCTTCGGCCGCATGGTGGCGCCACGCTCAGGCTTCGTCACTAAACCAGAGACAGAAAAGAATTCCGCCCCGCCCTGGCTTTTTGTTTCCATTTTGAAGATCCGTTTAAAAGGGCGGGAGATGGGGATACGCGAGCTAGCCCAGGACCTCTTTTGGGAGCTGCGGGTGTTCTGTGTGCTCTTGATCTTTATGGTAGTGATGGTCTGTTCCACTGAGTGTGGTGGTGCACTCCTGTATCCCAGCACTCCGGAGGCTGAGGCAAGAGGATTGCCGAGTTCTACGCCAGTTTAGGCTACGTAGTGAGACTCTATCTCAGAACACAATAAAGTTGTTTTAAACCTTTATTTTCTTAGTGCTGGGGATTGAACCAGGGGCTTGGAGAATGTGACATATAGGTTCTACTACGGAGCTACACTCCCACTCCAAATAAATTTACTACAGTGCCGTGAATGTTGGCAGGCACCAAACACTGGCCACACATCAACTCCATTTTCAGAAAGTACAGAGGGCTACAAAGGAGCTCACTCAAGGTCACACAGCAAATGGTGCCGCTTAGATACATATTCAAGATAAAGTTCAGGGCTGGGGATTTAGCACCTGCCTTGCAAGCCTGTGGTCATGAGTTTGATCCCTGGTACCCATTTAAAAAAAAAGATAAAGCTTAAAACCTATGCTTTTTGCACTGTACTATGAACTAGGAAAGTACAGGTGCTCCTCACTCATCTCCAGTGTAATCTTTGTCAGCTGGTGCTATTTCTTTTCTTTCTTTTTCACTATTAAATTTTGAGACAAAGTCTTGGTACATTGCCCAGGTTGGCCTTGAACTTGTGATCCTTCTGCCTCAGCCTCTGGAGTAGCTGAGATTGTACTGGCTCAGTGCTGTTTCATACAATTGAAAAAAAAAAAAAAAAAACCCGTCCATGTATTGAGCATTTACTTGGCACTTTATGCCTCAAGGACACTTACTATCAATTGTACATTATAGATAAGGAAACTGAGGCTCAGAAAGGTTAAGTAATATTCTCAAGGCTGCACAGCCAGGAAATGGCACTCAGGATTCAAACCCACAATGACTGATGCTGAGGTCTACACTTTTAGCAACCACTCTAGACAGCTTCACCTGTTCTTAAAGATGAACTCACAGTCACATTAGATTTCCAAAAGGGCTTCAGAAATCATCCAGGCCTTTGGGAAGGTGAGGTGACTTCATCTTCATTTCCTAAAGGAAGTGGCCAAGGGAAATGATAGGGTTAAGGCCAGAGCTAACTGATGTGGTCCCTGGTAGTCTAGGCCTTGTGCCTCTTGGGGTTTGTCTCCCAGCTCCCTAAAAGACCCTGCCCAGGAGCACCATCAGTGCTCTCCAGGGACCGCGGCAGCCCAGCTGTCAGGCGCCAGGCTCTCAGGCAGGCAGCCTGGCAGAGGGTGGCAGCGTGACACCCACACTCAGCTCCTGGGCTACCTTGGAGGAGGGAAGAGAAGTCGTCCCCCTGTCTGGAGCCTGCTGATAGATGGGCGCAGCAGCGAGGAAGCGGCTCTTTGGCTGCAGGCTGGCTTTTTATAATCACATTTGGATCCCCTCCACCCGGCCCCAGGCAGCCAATCCTTGTCAGAGTTTCCATTTCCTGCACTCTGCAGAGTTTTCTGGTCTCCTGTCTTCCAGCTCTGCTCGGTGGCAGCATCTGCGCGCTGCCTGCTGGCAGACAGCTCGAATTCAAGCTGGGGACTTTTGGAACAGCAAAGAGTATTCAAGCATGTCAGGCCACAGGGGGAGCCACAGCCACCTGACTGGGCTTGATGAAGCCGACCCCCAGCTTCCCTTGGGGTGCAATCCAGCTCAATCAGGGCTAATATCTCCCATTTATTGAGCACTTGCTGCGTGCCAGGGCCCGTGTACAGTGCTCTGTGTACAAGGCGAGCTCCTTCCCATGCCACAATGGTCTTGTGACGTATCGTGTGCTGTTTATAACCCCCCCAAGCTTTGGAAAGAAGGTTCATTCCATTCTGTTGTTCTCTCAGGCTGGCTGCTTCTGGGTGATAGGCACATGGTAAGAACTGGGAAGCCCACATTTGTGTGACCATCTTAATACTTTTTAAATTATTATTATTATTTTTAACATAAAAATAGGTTCCCTGGCCTTAGGTAATACATGTAGCATGTGGAGCATTCTTTAAAGTCTTTGGGGTGATGCTTGCACCAGCACTGTGGGTCAGCATATTGGGAGAATCACTATTCCAGCGAGGATGAATCATTGGCGTCTCCAAAGCAGAAGGGTCTGATCCATGTAACTGACCTTCCACCAGGTGCCTGGCTGCTCTCTCTAACTGATGCGGCTGTTCTGCTGCCTGCTGCTGCCAGGTTGGCTATTTGTTGGCAGTTGCTGCATCGGTCTTGATGAGAGGCAGTCTAGCTTGTTGGGTCCGTGTTGCCTTCATTGTCCCTTCCATGGATGCTCTTTGATAGGTTTATTGCAAGGCAACAGGGGGCAAAATTTAGAGGCTGGCTGACATCCTCAGACTGGGTCAGCCTGACCATCTGGCTCTAGAGCCTCCTCTGCAGATGATCTCCGGTCAGCATTAGTGTGAGACGCAGAGATCCACATGTCTTGTGCCCACTCCTGTGGGTCCATCCATCTGCCCCTTTCCCCTTCCAGCCTTGTTATTTCCATGTCCTTGACCAACCAGCAAAGCCATTTGCCACCTATTAGGCACTGGTGTATGTCAGAGCCTCTCTTCTCTGTCTCTCTGTCTGTCTCTGGTTCTCTGTCTCTCCATCTGTCTGTATCTCTTTCTCTCCTTCCCTTCCAAAGATGATAAAGTACACTGCTCATATTCCTGCCCTGGGGCAATTCCCCACTGTCCTTCAGAACTATCCCTGACTGTAAATTTCACCTGGTGCCAAAATACCATACTGATTTATCTGTGAACTGCTCTGTGAATTAGGCTCAATTCTTTATCTCCTTTATCAAAAGAAGGGGGTCAGGCCGGCAAGTGGTGGCTCCTGTGTATGATCCCAGCATGTGGGAGGCTGAGGCAGGAGATGAAGAGTTGGAGGCCAGGCTAGGCTACACAGTAACACTTCCTCTCAAAAAACAAAAGTAAACAACAAGAAAACAAACAGAAAGAGGCGTCAGGACAATAGGGGTGCCATGGAGTCTGAGCCCCTGTTCATTTCATTTGCTCATGTCCCCCTGGCCCAGCCATGAATATATATTGGATTGCTGCTATGCCTGTTTGATAATATCAAGCTTAAGGCACCTAGCCAGCTGGTATCCAATGGTCAGATGCCTCATTACTACCAGGGTCCAGCAA